AAAAAAAAAAAAAACAAATGTAAAATGAAAATGAAATAGTATGAAGAACACCAGCCCTGAAAAGTAGACACTTTTTTTTCCAAGGTGGGACAGACAGGTGAGGTGCTCTAATGAAGCGTTACTTAGCAGGCTGCTTTGGGGTCTCACTTTCCCAGGCCTGAGATGCGTTCAGGGTCTCCAGTCTGCAATCTGGGTGCCCACACATGTGTGGTTTTGTGTTGGGGGGGTGGGGTGGAGGTTTTTCCTGCTCAGCTGCCCCCAAGCTCAGCAGCGGGGCAGCCCTGACCTCCCCCGGGCTCCTCCCGACCAGCGGTTTTATGGCTTTTCCCAGCTTTGTGGTTTACCCCCCCCGAGGGGGACCGGCAGCAGCAAAACGACCCCTGGTCAAACTGTCACCTTTGTATTTTGCAGGTACAGAGCGCCACGAACTAACTTCCTGGAAGAGTTTTCCATCGATTTTCAAGTTCTTCAGCGAGGCGGTAGAGGCAAAGAACAGCTCGGTGAAACCAGCCCCGACGCGGCGCTCCAACAGGATAAAATATGAAGAATTGTAAAAGAGGACAGGAGGAACAAGGAAAAAAAAAAAAACAAAAACAAACAACAAAAAACCCCAAACACCGCCACCACCAAGCTCTTCACTGCTTGTTTTCTGCAAGCAGTCTCCCAGCCCCTCATTAGATTGTTTTCTTCCTAGAGCACAGGGTCGTGATGTATACATCTAAATAGCGTTTTGCATTATTTCTAGATGAGTGCAACTGTCAAAGCAATATGGGTTCACTGGTTGTGCTTCCTGTGGGCTGTAACTTGGATTTCGTGCTGCCCATCAGCGCGCAGATTAAGGCTGACAGTGGTACTGCACAGTGCAGCATGGTGCAGCTCTAATTGCCCTGACATAGCCCTGCACCAAGGCGATGCCAGAATTTAACAGCTTCGTCGTGGTCCTGTCGCCTGCAGGATTTTTTGCTGCTTCCTTCTATTTTGAGACAGAACAAAATAGAAATTACTCATTTTTTTAAAAGACCGCTCTAACTCTGAAGTGCTAACCAGCCCGTGATTTTACAGCCAGCAGCCTTCTCTTTCTCTGGGACCAAGTGGGATCAACTCTTGACTCTCTTTTTCTGCTGGTAGGAGAGTCAGAGAAGTTTGGTCCAGATTTGTAGGAAAGCCCCTTTGTTGTAGAGATTTTCTCCTCCTGCCGGATCAATGGCATTATCTGTAGATCTTCTCTTCCTTTTGAAAGCTCCACTTAAAAAATGCCTATTCACTAGCCGGCTGGACCACACTGTGAAATATGACAGCAAAAAAAAAAAAAAAAGGAAAAAAGAGAGACACATTTTCCTGTTTATTTTTAAACGCAAAGATGCTTCCGTTTTCAAATGCTGGGTTTGTAATGACTTGACTTTGCCAGCCCGTGGTTATTCCCATTTTCTCTAAACTGATGGGCTCATCCCCACTTTCCCAGGTGCTGAGGGGGGGTGGGGGGCTGGAGGAGGCTGCCCTGCATGGGCACCCCACGCTACGTGTGGGGCAAGGTGGGGGGGTTTGTGATGGGGCCGTAGCCATCGCCGCCGGCATCTTTTCTCCACTAAAATGTCTGATAAGCGACAAGACGTGCCTGATAGCGTGCCCGGCGAGCGAGCGCGCTAATTAAGCTCCTTTAGTGTTGATGATGCTAAATTAAAGTCATCTTTTCTTCAGTGGCCGTGCCCGCCTTGCCTCTGATGCTGTTAGTGCCGAGGAGGCAACACTCGAAGGCAGGGGCTTTGGGACCCCCACTCCATCCCACCCACCCCCCCACCGTGTAATGCTTCCTATCCCACAGCTGGGG